CGGCCCTGCCCTAGCTGCCGGCCCTACCGGCCCTGCCGGCCCTACTGGCCCTGCTGGCCCTGCCAGCCCTGCCGGCCCTACCGGCCCTGCCGGCCCTACCGGCTCCTGCTGGCCTTGCCGGCCCTGCCGGCCCTGCCGGCCTTGCCGGCCCTGCCGGCCCTGCCGGCCCTACCGGCCCTACCGGCCCTGCCGGCCCTGCCGGCCCTCCCTGGAGTCCCAAACTTGGAATTCTTCCGGCTGACCTTAATTATTCCGGCTGCTGCTATTATTTCCGGCTGACGCTTTTTTTTCCGGCTGGCGTTAAACATCAGCATGTGTATCATGTGTTATCATGCCATACACCAAAACATAACATCGCATGACATATGTTCGATTTCGCGCCACATCGTATATCTTTACATCAAAAACGAGTCTCTCCTCCTCCTCGTCATCGTTGTCCTCGTCGTCCTATGCGTGTTTCTCTCCTCGCTCTCTCCTCTCCTCGCCCGCCTATCGTGCAGTCTTGGCCCAAGATGGCCAAGAGACGGAAGCGGCGCAGAGGCGCCGCCGCCGCGCCCCCCCCACCCCCCCCCGCCGCCGCGGCGGGAAAGAGACGCCAATTCTCTGACCACGAGACGCTGACCGCCGTGCTGACAAAGCACATCCAGGCCCTCCTCCTCCTCCTCCGCCTCCTCATCATCCTCATCATGATATTCATCATCATCAGCGTCATCATCATCAACAGCATCATCATCGTCATCATCATCATCATCATCATCAGCATCCCTCGTCCTCGCCTTATCCTTCTCCTCCTCCTCCCCCTCCTCCCCCCCTCCCCCTCCTCCTCCTCCTCCTTATCTTCTTTATCCCTTCCCCCAGCCCGTTCCTCTTCCTCGCCCGATCCTGCTTCGCTGCCTTATCCTCCTCCTCCTCCTCCTCATCCTCCCCCCCCCCGTCCTCCTCCTCCTCATCCTCCTCCTCGTCCTCCTCCGTATCCTCCTCCTCGTGCTCCTCCTCGCTTATTCGCAGGAAGCTGGTTGGTTGGTATACGGGAAGCGGCCTGGCGAAGATAGGTTCACAGACCAGTGCGCCCTTGAGATCCATAAGCACGCAATTCTGCTAAGAGACATCGAACAGCTCACGCCAAACTTAGCCCCGACAGAAGCGCGCTGCAAACTGGCGTTCGAGCTGGTCGCGAAGACGAAGGCAGGACACCGACGACGAAGACGGAGGACGCAGACGACGGCGCCTGACGAGTGGCGAACGACGACGACGAACGACGACGGCTACGAAAATGAAGGAGTGAACGTATGAAAGGAACGGCAACGACGACGACGACGACGACGACGACGACGACGACGACTGCGACGACGACGACGACGACGATCGACGACGACCGACAACAACGCAATGATGATTTACGAACTGGGCGGGCGGGTCTACGCTGACTGCCCCGTGGCTGACCCGTGGCTGGCCCATGACTGGTTCGGTAGTGCGCCGACCGAGGTCAGTCATAGGTCAGTCATGGGTCAGTCATGGGTCAGTCGGCGACCTCCCACCCGCCCCGAGTTGCCCTGGGTGTCTGGGCAGGGGCCCACCCCCCTCCCAAGGCAGCAAAGTGGTGTTTCTCTATCGAGCAGGGCCGCGACTGGGCCGAGACGGAGGGCGCGAAGCTGCGCTCTATGCTGAGGCGCGCATGCCTCATCCTCATCCCCCTTCCTCGCCGCGCCTTCCTCTTCCACCGCCTCCCATGCCTCTCATTTTCCCATGCGTACTCGTCCCAACTTACCTCTGCCACATCGTCGTCGTCCTCCTCCGCCCCCGATCCTCCGTTGCCGTTTTGCGGTTGCCGTGTTGCGCCGTGCTGTGGCATTGCGCCCGTCCTCGCCCTCCTCCTCGTCCTCGTCATCATCCTCATTCTCCCCCTCCTCATCCCCTCCCTCATCATCATCATCGCGTGCCTCATCGTCTCATCGCCATCGCTGCCCCGCCGCGCCCCCCCCCCCCCCCCGCGACAGGCACATGTACGACCCAGTCCGCCGCGAGGCCAGTGGCCGCACACCGCCAGCGCGGCTTGCGAAGTTGCGAATGATACAAGGCCTCGCGGGGCGCCAGGATGGCAGGGTTGCGGAAGGGAAGATGGAGGAGCGGGGATGCGGACGTAGGAGGAAGCGGAGGATGAAGACGAGTAGGATGAGTAGGATGAGGCGGAGGAGAAGGATCAGGACGAGAACGACACGGAGAAGGAGGATGAAGAGGGCGACGACGACGAAGCCCCCCCCCCTCCGCCGCGCAGGCAGCGAAGACAAAGACAAAGGCGGCAAAGACAGAGGCAGCAGCAAAGGCAGCATCAAAGACAAAGACGGCGGCGGCAAGGACAAAGGCAGCGAAAGCGGCAGCGACGACAAGGGCAGCAAAGACAAAGGCAGCGAAGGCAACAAAGACAAGGGCAGCATCAAAGAAAAAGACGGCGGCAAAGACAAAGGCAGCGAAGGCAGCAAAGACAAAGGCGGCAAAGACAAAGGCAGGGAAGGCAGCAAAGACAAGGGCAGCAAAAGGCAGCGCGAGGACTCCGATGGCTGGGACCCGTCGACGGGCATGGCGTGGAGGACCGACCCGCGTCGCAGTCGTCGGCGTCGTCGTCGTCGTCGCCGACGTCGTCATCGCCCTCGGCTTCGTCCTCATATTCCTCATCCCCCTCGTCCTTCATCATCGCCATCCCCCTCGTTCTACGCATCACGTTCTTCCTCGTCGCCCACCTTCCGACAGGAAGCGAAACGGCCAGCGTGTTCCGGAGACCACGCGCCATATCGTCGAGCCCGATGATGCGACCGACGCCAGCTGCATGCTGGCAAAGTTCCCAGACGGTGGGATCGGGGTGCAACGTGAGGGAAGATGTCGCTGAGGGGGAGGGAGAGACGACGACGACGATTACGGCGGCGACGGCGTCGACGGCCATTGCGACGACGATCGATTAGAGTACGATTACGACGACGACGACGAGACGGAACCAAAACTGACCCAAGACTGACCCAAGACTGATCCAAGACTGATCCTCTCCGCGGGGTGAGGGCAGGTGAAATTGTGGAGCTAGTCGAGCTGACTGTCATGGAGTGGAGGTCCCGTGGCAGCGTAGGCAGGGCGGCGTCGAGCGCCACCACGTACCAGCGCGTCACGCTCTTCGAGGGCAATAGGGGCGAGGACGCCGTCGTCGTCGACGAACGGAAGCTGAGCGGCGCAAACAATGGCAACAGGATCGGGGTGGCGCTCAACATCAACGGCCAGCAGAAGGTGTCGGTGAGCTACGCCGCCGTCGCATCGATCAAGCAGGAGAAGCTGCAGGACTGGTTCATAGGGATCGCGAAGCGCTTCGTAGCTGGCAGCATCGGCGACGTCGACGAGCTGCGGACGGAGAGGAAAGCGTTCGTGGCCGCAGCCGCCGCAGGAGGAAAGGGCGAGAGCGCTGACATGAAGAGAAGGCCCGCTGCGGCGAAGGAGAGCAGCGGCGCTGCCAACAAGAGGCCCGCTGCGGCGAACGGGGGCGCTGGCGCGGCCGCGAAGAAGCCCGCCGCGGCGGGAGCGGCTGAAGACGGCGAGGACGACGCCGACAAGGACGACGATGAGGAGGATGAGGGCGAAGAAGAAGACGGAGAGGACGGGGGGATGAGGAAGAAGAAGAAGAAGCGGAGGAGGAGGGCGAGGAAGAAGAGGCGGAAGAAGACGAACATGAAGATGAGGAAGATGAGGACGAGGAAGAGGCGGATGAGGAGGACGACGCAGAAGACGGCGCTGGTAAAGACAAGGCTGCTGCCGCAAAGAAGCGGCCTGCTGGCGCTGGCGAAGACACGGCTGCTGCAAAGACAAAGACAAAGAAACGGCCTGCTGGCGCTGGCGAAGACGCGGCTACTGGTGCCGCAAAAAAAGCGGCCTGCTGGCGCTGGCGAAGACACGGCTGCCGCCGCCGCCGCGCGGCCCCAGCCGACAGCCGCAGGCGCGTTTCCTTCGGATCGGGGGGGGGGGGGGTCCAAACGTCCAAAGGGGTGGGGGGGCCCAACGAGTTCTGAGGATACCCCAATATTGACCCAAGACTGGCCCAAGACTGACCCAATACTGATCCCACGGAGGAGAGCGAATCGCCCGCTGGTGGCGCAGGGGTGAGTGACGCGACGGCCTCGATCGCAGCCCCCTCGACGCCCCCCGTGCCGCTGCCGCCGCAGGTGCCGCCGCCCCAGATGGGGTCGTTGTATAGCAAGGCACTGGCGGTCGAGATGCGGTCTCGGGCTGCTCATGCTTAGGTGGACTGAGGGCTGACCCACGACACACACACACACACACGCGCGCGCGCACACACACACGCACACACACACACACACACACACGCACACACACACACACACACACACACACACACACACCACACGCGCGAACCTATGCATGCGCATACATACCGATGTGTAAACTTATATATATATATATATATATCAATAAATAAATAAATATACACACACGCGAAGACGATCCACAGCGGGTCGCATCCTGAGCCACCATGGCTGAACCCATTCTGGGCCCGCCAGCGGGCCCATAATGGGTTCGGCCAAGGAACGACCTTGTGTCTTTGTCGCTGCGTCCCGTTAATATGGACGGATATCGATGCATGCGGAGAGTACGCGAGAGAGATAGAGAGACATCGAGATAGAGAGGTCAGCCTTCAGTCACTGACTGCACCCCGCCCCATTGGACGCCGCCGGTCGCGATTATAGTGCTTCGCGGCGCGGCGGCGGGGGGGGGCGCTCGCGCGGCGCCCGACTATTGTTGCAAGGACGGCCGTGGTCCGATCTGCGGCGTGGCTGGTGCAACATCAGGAAACCATCGGTCCGATCGATCCCATCCCCCATCTCATATCGATCGTCTCTGTAATGACTGTGGGTGTGTCCGCGGCCATTAGCATGACCAAGCGTTCTCGCGCTAAGTCTGCGCCACCGATCGGTTGGTTCGTGGGGGTCCCGCCCCAAGCCAAGAGTCTGTGGGTCACGCGGGGGTGGGCAATGCCGTCCCAGCGCTCGCGCAGCCCAATGGCGGGCGACGGCGCGGCGACCCGCAGCCCGCCACCGACCCGTCGCGGGGCGAGGAGCAGCAGCCCGTCATCGCGCGCGGAGGGCCGCAGTGGCACGGCGAGCCCAGAAGCTTTTGAGCGTCCGATGGTGGGGAGTGCATGGAGGGACGGTTGATAGGGAATATGCTAGGTGTGGTGGTGTGGGGATGTATGCGTACTGAAGGGGGCGGTGGTGCATGGAGGACTGGGAGGGCCATTACGTAGGGGGTATGGGGGTATGCCATGAAATTGTAACGATGGTGTCGTGGGCCAGCCTTGGATCAATCCTGAATCAGCGCGAGACCAATCACATGCCGTCGGGCTGGGACTGATCCAAGACTGATCCGAGACTGAGCCAAGACTGATCCAACACTGATCCACTATGATCCACTACCGATCGGATGCGCCCGCAAGGTCCGCCGCGCACGGGGGAGAGGATGCCGCTGGCGCAAGCCCGCGACGAGACTCTGGCGGAAGAGATGCAAGCGGAAGAGGCGGCCGCGGCCGCGCGCGAGAAGATGTCGGCTGGCGCGGCGCTGGGTTCGGCTGGGCTCGCGGCCGTGGACCTCGCCGAGTCGCCTGGCGAAGTGACGGCGGCGACCAGCTGCCGTAGCGAGATGGCGGGATTCGCGGCGCTCGCAGAGTACCGCGCAACGAAGAAGAAGGCCTGGGAGGCCCAGCAGATCAGCGATGACCAGGCGATGGCGGAAGCAATGAACGCTGCAGAGGAAGCTGCTGGTGCTGGCCGCGACGGCAACGATTCCTCGGACGAGATGCCGCTCGTGACGGCCGCCGACGCCAGTCGTCATGGGGTCTGGCGCACGCCATTGCCAGGCCCTGGATCGCAAGTGGAACTGGTCGACCTCGAAGATAGCGACGAGGAGATGATGCCCGTGATGCCGCCCACGGGCGCTGGCCCTGCGGGCTCGCGGAGCCACCGCGAGCCTTCGGCGGCCGCGGGCTCGGCAGCCCCTGACTCGGCCCCCGTGGCCGTGGCAGCCCCCGCCTCGGGGCCGCTGGCGTCGCTGCCCACGACGCCGCTGCAGATGCCGCCTGGAGCGCGCCGTTCTGCGAGTATCACCCCGACGAAGACGGCGGTGGCGGCGCGGACGGAGGCATTCTGCGCCTTGAAGAAGGCGGTCGCATCGCGGCCGACTGGGCACGGCACGCCCACGATGCCAGGTTTCATCGCCACGCGCGCTGGCGATGGCGATGCGGCGGGAGGCGACTCTGCGAAAGGGAAGAGGTTCTCGAAGGGGGACGCGCAGCTCAAGGACGTCGTGGAGAATGGCCGTGGCTTCAAGGCGCGCAGCCCCCTTGGATGGCAGTTCAAGAACCAGATCGACACGGGCGCCATCGTGGCCCAGCAGTACGAGGAGGCAGAGGACAAGGAGCAGTTCAAGATGAATTGGGCGAGGGAGAAGTACAAGGGGTCGACCCACCAGAGAAGGGCACACACCCAGCGCCAGGAGGAGGAGTGGGCCAAGAACGGGAAGCTCTGCTCGTGGCTGAAGCTGCTGGAGGAGGAGGGCGGTACTAGGGGTCCCGACGACCCAGAGACGATCGAGAACATGCGCGTTCACTCCCTTCGATGTGCAGAGCTTGGCTATCCATTCATACAGGCGTTTCGGGTGCAATTCGTGAACCCTTTCGGGCATCCGGTTTAAATCCAGGGTCTGTGTGGTGTTGAGTGGTTCGGTACGTCGTTAACTCTGGGCGGACAGGGTTCATGCATTGCGCGCCTTCGAGGTGGATCCGATGCACGGTGGCATCAAAGTGATGCACTTCCAGGTGACACGGGCGGATCGCTTCACGAAGGCGTGGACGGACTACACCGAGCAGAACAAGTTGGCCGACGCCCCAGGCAGCAGCAGCGGCAGCAGCAGTTGCGCAACAGCAGCAGGGCAGTCGCAACTGCAGGCGCTGGCGGAATCGGATCACATGAAGCCCGCCGTCTTGCGAGTGGCGAAGAACGTGCACTTGGAGGCGGCACCAGACGCAGCATCCGAGGCAGAAGCAGGAGCTGAGGCAGAAGACGAGGAGGATGATGACGGGGATGATGAAGAGTGGGATGCTGATGACGATGAGGCAGAAGACGGCGATGGCAGCCCAGAGGGTGATGACGGCGATCCAGCGCCGAAGAAGGAGCAGACACAGGCGGCGAAAGACCTGGCCGCGGCTCGGAAGATCTGCAAGTCGGCGAAAGACGCCGTGTCGGACACCGATCATCTCATGAGGACGATGGACGAGGATGATGAGTGGGACTGGGCAGAAAAGCCGCGCAAAGACCTGGAGGCGCTGAAAGACCGCCTGGGCGAGGAAAACCGAAAGACCAAGCTGTCGATCATGATATTGAGCGGCTTGAAGAACGCGAAGGCCAGCAACCGACGGGATGGGAATGATGAGGGGATGGGGGATAGATCGCACGATGCCTGAGCATACAACGAGCTTGTATAGCTACAGTATGATGACGGTGGGTGGTGGTGGGGATGATTACGGGGGATGGGTTGACGAGTGTCCTCGGTTTGGTGGCGAGGGGGGCGATGTAGGCATTTCTAGCAATAAATTACACAGGCGTATGGTTGACACCCGTACACACTCTATATATGTGCATACATATATACATACGCACGTATTATATAGAAACACGTGCACACACATGCATACACATATACACCTCACGATCGCCCGCAGATACTGCAGAAGCTGACGCCGACCGACATCTCCTCCCAGCTGGCGAGCATGGCAGCCATGAAGGCGCGCGGTGCCAGTCTGCTGGGGGAAGGAGAGGGGTGAAGAGGAGGAGGAGGGGGATGGGAGATGAAGGGATGAGGAGGAGGAGGGAAGACGAGGGGGAATGTGGGGAGGGTGATGATGGGGAGGAGGATCCATGACGGATGCATGCCCCGACTCATTTAAATGCCCCACCCCCCGCCCCCGCTGGCAGCGGCGCCTCGAGTTCATGGGGGGGGGGGGGGTCGGTCGAGAGCGCGTCGCTGGCGAAGCAGCCTCCCCTCCCAAGTGCCGCCCGCGCGCCCTCAGGCGGCGGCGGAGGCCCTGGTGGACAAGCGGAGCAGGGCGCTGGCCAGCCACGAGAGTGCCCCATGGGGCAGGGGGCTTGGCGCGATGATGAAATATCAGATGAGGAGGGCGCGGGTGCACCATGAGAAAGGGGATGGTGACGATGTAGTGGGGAGGAGGCGGGGGCTCGGATCAGGACGAACGGATGAGGCTCGGGCGGGGCTCGGGGAGGGGGGGGTGGGGGCTCGGAGGATGTTGGGATGACCGATCACATGCGGACTGGGGACGGGTCGAGGTATGACGAAGAAAAAGACTGAAGCTGGCGGCGGGGAGAATCCGACGAAGCGCAAGCGCGCCAAAGACAAAGCAGAAGCGAAGCAGCCGCCGAAGCCGAAGAAGAAGGCGAAGCGCTAGGGCATGCCTTAATCTTTGCAGCGGGTAGCACCCCTCGCACGCGAATCGATCGACACGCATGTGTGCTCGAGATAAGTGGGCGTGTGTGGGGGGGCAGACCGATATATCGGCACAACTCCGAGCGATCCGATCGATGTGTGTCAGGTATGTTACCCGTTCCTTCACGGGCGCTCACGCTGCGTCGGCGCGTGCCCGCGGGATCGCTGCACCGCTGCCCACTCCGCGGGGGGGGGGGGGTCAGCTTGAGCTGACGGCGGGCCGTCGGTGCAGATATAGGACACCAATCCGACGCCGCGCGAGCGCCCCCCACGCGCATGGGGGCCCATTTCAGGGCTCGGGGTGCAGCCGTTGACCCGTGGGCGCTCATCCAGTGCACCATGAACCTCGGAAGACTCAACTATAGCAAAAAGCGTGGGGAAAAATTGGAAACCGTTTGGTGTGTTTTTTTTATACAAAAACTGTCTGCTTTTTTGAAAACATGCGCGGCCGGAAAAAATGCGGCCGTGGCCGGGAGAATTGCGGCCGCGGTCATGAGAATTGCGGTAGCGGCGGCACCCTGACCCATGACTGGTCCATGACTGATCCATGACTGATCTATGACTGAGGGGGGCATCATACCTGTACAAACACATGGTTTCGTGACCTGCCCCATGACTGACGCATACCTGATCCATGACTGATCCATGACTGATCTCGACTGATTCCTGAGTTTGCAAGATTTTGTTTGTTTTGCACTGGTTGTTTCAAGATTCGCTCGATCGGCGGCTCGATCCGATCGGCGGTGAGAGGATGTGGGAGGAGGAGGGGGGTGGGAGGGACCGCAGGCGGATCGAACGGTGTGATGAGAGAGCTGCACCCCGTGCCCACCCTGTCCCCGCCGTTTCAAGGGAGTGGAACGGCTAGCGGCCGATGAAGCCTGACGCGCCGCGTGGATGAGGCGCGTCGGAGCAGGCTGGCCGCGCGTTGCAACATGTACTGCTCCCTCGCCCAGCCCTGACCACCGTCGTCGTAACGTCGTCTCAGGTTCAGTCGCCCCCGTCGGCCCACTCACCCACGCTCCATCTCCCCATCGTCGCTACTGGTCTCCCACCGATGCTGACCGTCGTACCATATAGCGGTTTCGGCCCAGGGTCTCATATTTATGGCACCGAAACGTCCAAAACGCAGACGATCTTTCTCCCCGCCCCAGCCAGATGATGGGGGTGGCGTGCCAAGCGTTGCCGAAGCTGGGGACGCACTGGTGCGTGAACTACTCAAAATGTATGCTGATGGTAGATCTATGTCTGCCTACTCATTGACGACAATAGCGTATTATGCTAAGCATGCGGGCGTTCAAGGACCATTGCAATCATACGCTCTGGACCCGTCCAAGTATAATCGCACGGGGCATCCCGCCAGATTAGTGAAGAAACTCGTGTTGGAATATATCGACGGCGTCCCCCCCCCCCGACATGACCATCAGCATACCTGGATATCGAAGGAAAGATAAGCTCAGGGGCGATATCAACCTCATCGCGCGGGCCCCCCACGAGGTGCTCCACGCGGAATTGTTCCGCACCGCACACACGTTGCAGGATGGCCATGGACGGGGGGTGGAGGTGGGAGGTGATTGAGGGGATTATGTTATATATATACATATATATATATATATATATATATATATATAGGTAGTGTGCGTGATGTGTACACACGATCATTCCCGTGTCTATCGCTCGCCTCTCGCTAGCCCGTCTTTTGGGGCGTGGGTGGCCGCAGGAATTTAAAGACGCGCTCGCCCACAAGACTATGCCCGCTGCTTGGCAGTCTCATCCTGTCGTGCGCCAGGGGGCCGCCGAGGGCGGCTTCGTGCTTCCCGTTGCGCTCTTTATCGACGCTGCGAAGTTCGGAGGGCAGGCAGCGGGTCGGAATAAGTCCATCTACAATTTCACATGCGTAAATCTCTTGTCGGGCCGTCGGCACGTGCTATCAGTGCTTCGGAAATTTATAATGTGCAGGTGCAGTCAAGCGTGCAAAGGGTGGTGTACGTTGCAGCCTCTTCGAGTGGGCGCGGTGGTCGCTCGACTCTCTGGCGCAGGGTGTGTGGCCGACCTGTCCCTTCAACAGACTCGACTGGGGGGCGGGCGCCGGTCGGGCTGCCAAAGCAGGCGCGCCGCTTGGGTTTCGTGCAGCGGTGATGCATCTTATGTGTGACTGGGGAGCTGTGGGTTCGATATTGGGCACTTTTACGTGGAACCATAACACGTTTCCGTGTCCTCTATGCTCGGCCGATCGCGGTGGCATGCACGAATACAGGTTCGGGTTCACCGAAATACGCGTGCCCCTCCAACCCGAGAGAGGGAGATCTAGGGAGAGAAGGGGGAAACTATAGAGATATATAGAGAGATGGGGGGTATAGGGAGATGAAGAGAGATGGAGAGAGAGAGAGACAGAGAGAGAGAGAGAGAGAGAGAGCGAGAGAGAGAGAGAGAGAGAGAGAGAGGGATAGCGAGTGAGAGAGAGAGAGAGGGAGAGAGTTATATAGAGAGAGAGAGATATGGAGAGTTAGAGAGAGAGAGAGAGAGAGAGAGAGAGAGAGACATTGGGGATGGGCAGGTGGTTACGTATTACTCCATTCGAATACGCGTGCCCCCCCCCCTCCCAGCAGCGTGGTATGCCGTGGCTACGTGCCCAGTAAATATTGGGATCGTGGCGCTTGGGGGCCTGGCGGTAGCATGGGGGGTATGATGTGGGATGGACGGATGTGCGGTGGCTCGCGTATTAGTGTTATGATGCCTGTCAGTCGAATTCGCAGCGCTGATCGGCAGTGGCAGTACTATTCTAAGATCGCACACCTCAGGGCGTGTGACAACGCAGAGAAGTGGATCGAAATAAACACCGAGGACGAAAAGAAGCGACTGATCGAAACAGGTAGGTTGTGCTATGACAAACGGAAGACTGGCAACGGGTTGGTTTTGTCCCGCGACGTGCCCGCGTTGAACGCGGCGTCGGCCCCCCTGCTAGCAGGCGATCAGCTCCTCGCTCAGAAGTCTCTCCCAGATACGGCGAAGTATGGCTCGATCGTGCCGCCGATAAAGCTTTGCTTCTGGCGGGAGTCAGACGCAACCCTGTGCAAGCAGAGGAACCCTATGTTTGGCGAAGACATCGGTGTGACGATTGGGCAGACATGCAGCGTTGATTATCTCCACACCGTGTGCTTTGGGCCCGAAGCCTTCGTGGTGCTAGAGTGCTTCTGGAGGTCGGTCGAGTCGCATGCCATATCGGGAGGCGGTGAACACCATGCGTGTTGTGAGCAGGCGATGGTGATCTAATCACAAACACCTCACCATCCACACAACATCACGCACAATATGCGCGCCACCATCCCTTTTAAAAACATTTCAACGCACACACACATACATGCTCATATGTATGCACACGCACACCGCAAGCGCACACGCGTGCGATGTGCTGTAAGTGGTTTGGCCTGCCTGTAAGGCTGCAGCGTTCCTAACGAGCAAGCTACACACGTGGTATGCGCATCAGCGCCGTAGTGGACACAGGCCCAGTGAGGTTGAATATATGTCGCCCTTCATGTTCGGCACGCGCGGCAAGCCAGTCCTCAAATTGAAGGCCGCGGAAACAACGTGGATGTTTAGATTTGTTGTGGAATGTTTCCTGCCCGATTATTGTGGTGATCTTAAGCGTGGGGCTGAGCTTTACCAGTGTGCGGGGACGCTGCTGGAGTACACAACTCTACTTGCCGCTCAGCCCGATGTGCCAGACGTTGGTGCGTGTGCGCAGCTGGAGCGTTTGTGCATAAAGCATCTCGTACAGTGTGCTGCCGCCCACGTGCCGTACCGCCCCAAGCACCATCTGTTTTGGCACTTGGCAGCAAGGGCGGCGGGTTGGAATTCAAAAGTGCAAAGTGTGATGATACGGATGATGAGACATGACGGAGGAAATCGGCGATGATAGTGAGTAGGGGTTTGTGACAGTGGTCGGATGCGCCATGGCGAGGACGTGGATGGGGCATGGGGGAGGGGCGAGGTGGGGAGGATGATGATGCGGCAGGAACGGGTGACACTGAGGCGCAAGGGCGCAATCGAGTTCCCCTGCGCACTGGCCTGTCTGACCCCCCCCCCCACTGGCGAGGATGCGCGCGATGGGCCATCCTCGCATTTACGCGACATGGAAGGACGAAACACTCAACGCAATGTTGGCCAGGATATCCGAACAAGCATCACTTGGCAACTTCGACTCGGGGATATGGACCCGTGTTGACCTGCAAGTGTATCTGGGGATGGGCGGTGACGGCTAGCTCGCATGCGATGTATAATTCGCCGTGCGCCGCGTGCACTCCGATCTCGCTGGGCAAGGTAAAATCGCCGAGAGGGGGGGGGGGGGGTCAGCCGTGGACTCTGCTCTGCCGTGTCTCACTCACCAGTCGTGCGTCCGTCTCGCGTCAGTCGTGCGTCAGTCTTGCGTCAGTCTTGCGTCAGTATTGCGTCAGTCTTGCGTCAGCCGTCGTCGTAGTCGTCATCGTCGTCGCCTCAGCATCGTCGTCGTCGACGTCGTCGCACGCCAATCGTCTACGTCGTGACCGTCGTCGTCGTCGTAGTCGGCGTAGTCGCTCTCGCCGCCAGCCTCGCCCCCATCCTCGCACATGATCGAGAGCGGCGCGTTCACGCGTCGCCCCCCCCCCCCCCCTCTCCCCGTGCGACGGGCCCACGGCGATGGCCAATGCATATCACCGCATCGCCGACGCATCCGCGCTGAATCCCGCGCCAGGGGGGGCATGCAGAGCCGACGGTCGGGGCCACAAAGAATTGAATATAACTGGATGGTGAGGATAGGTACGTTGGAGGGGATGGGGGAATGATGATCACGATGAGCGGAGATGGCGGATGAGGAGGATGTGGCGGAGGAGGATGAGGAAGATGACGCGGGTGAGTGACCGCGCCGCCGCCCCCCGATCGCAGCGGCGAGCGGCCTGGGCGCTCGGAGGCGGCACTGGGGCGCCGCCCCCCCCCCATGGGAAAGTTCTGGGCCGACGTGCGGTCGGTCGCGCCAGCCAGAAGAGACGATGGCGGCACGCCGAAGCAGCAGCGGCGGGACCGATCTCGAGATCGACGGCGGCATCGCGAAGCTGAAGAGGCGCCGAAGCTTGGCGCCAAAGAGGTGCAGCCGAAGACTGAGGGAAGATCGAGCGCCGAAGGCGCCCCGATGAGGAGGATGAGGAAGAGGAAGATCTGGGTCAGGCGGAAGACAAAGACGGAAAAGCCGAGAAGGAAGACAAATGATGATGAGGAAGACTAGAGAGAATGGCGAGAGAGACGCCGATCCGCACCGAAAGGAACGACAGAACATAGGAGTCGGACCCACACCGAACGACGAGAAGGACGCCGATCCACGTCGACGAGAAAGACGGAAGAGCGGACCCCCACCGAAGGACGAGAGGCACGCCGACCCCCACCGAATATCGAGGGTTCGGACACAGAGGTGGAGTCAGAGACAATTGCAAGGCTCCTAGATGCGCCTACGTGTAACACTAATAAAGCAGCGGCGCATAATGCCGTGATGGCAGCACTGCATACGAAGAAGACTGAGGTGCTGGATGAAATTGACCTTGCGGTACGTGCGCGAGCTGCCAGCCTGGCGGCTACCCCGCCCGAGGTGGCAACCGAGGGCGCGGGGGCCGCCCGCGTCAAGGACGGCGCTCAAGGTCAAAGCTCGAGCTTCGTCGCGTCGGCCAGGAGGGGGCTCGTGGTGGCGCAGCAGCTCGCTGACGCCGTGGAGGCGGCGCGGGCGCGGCAGCGGCGGCTGGCGCTGGGCGGCGAGGCACGGCGGCCCAGCCCATCGCGCCGAGAGCGCAGAACAAGCAGCCGCAGCCCATCGGCCACGCGGCTGAAGCGGCAACCGCAGCAGCCGCGCCGAGAAGACAGCCGCAGCCACGCCGAGAAAGCCACCCCACCCACAATCGCAGCTTGCGACTGGCGCAGCTGCTCGCCCGTGATGGGCGCCCAGCCCAAGAGGTTGCCAAAGCCGCCGCCGCAGCCAACGCCCCAGCTGCAGATGAGAACGGCCATCGGTAAGGAGCTCCACTTCGCCAGACCTTCGATGGCGGATGACGACGACGAAGCAATTCTAGCAGCCCGCGATGAGACCAGGCGGGCAGCGTCAAGACGCCGAACCAAGCACTCGGCGGCGGAGAAGCTGACGGCCGAGACGGGCGCCGACGCTGGTGGCCCTGGAGCTGGCGGCGCTAAAGATGGCGGTGCCACAGCGCGCAGGAAGCCGACTACACCACCGCGCAAAGACAGCCGCCACAGCCGCGCGCCACGCAGCCTCGCGCCGAGGGCGCAGTCGCAGGAAGATATGCAGCACGCCAAGTACGCGTGCCTGCACATGAAGGCACGCGCAGCAGTTTGTGCTGCAGAAGCCGCTGACGCAAAAACACGGATTGCAGAGGCAAAGCTAGCGGCAGTTGAAGCAAAGCTAGCGGCGGCCGACGCCGCGGCAAGCGCTGAGGAGCGCACCGCCGCCTGAGGCGCGGTGCCCGCTCAGACGCATGACTGAGTGTCCGCTGCTCGGGGGCAATGCGTCTTCCTCCTCCTCCTCATCCTCCTCCTCCTCATTCTCCTGATGATGATGACGAGGAGTGGGATGACGTTAAGGGGCGAGGGTATGGAGGATAAGTGGGGTGAGGGAGGAGAAGGAGCAGGATGAAGGGGGGGGAGGATGACAGGAATATGATGGGGGGCAGGGAGGACGAGGGCGACAATGATCATGAAGATAATGCGGGAAGGGGGATGGATGGATGATGATGAGGATGATGCTGATGATATAGAAATGTATGAGACATAATAAGGAATACGATGAGGCACGCGATGATGAATATGAGGATGACGACGGAAACAACAGAACGCGATGTTGATGCTAACGCCGATGGTGCGGATTTCGAGGAGGGGGGATGCTGATGACGAGGAGGAGGAGGTCGTAAGAGGGGCGCGCCCCCCCCCCGCCCCAGCGCCCGCGCCTGGTGAGAGGCGATCTCGCCAGTCACACCGCGAGCCCCACAGGGGGGCAGTCAGGGGGGCAGTTTGGGGCGGGAGGTTCGAGGTCGACCGACGCATCGCGCATCGCCCACGCTTCACCGACGCTCGACCGACGCATGGCCGACGATCGACCGATGTTCGACCGACGACCGACCGACGCTCGGCTGACGCATGACTGACGCCCGACTGACGCATGACTGAGGCATGACTGACGCACGACTGACGCGCGTGGATGCATCGGCGATGCGGACCCCGCCCGATTCCCCCGTCCCCCCCTCTCCGCCGCGCGATGGTTCGGGCATGAGACAACTGCCCCGAGCAGCTAGCCGCGACGCGCGGGACGAGCGCATGGGGGTGCGCGGTTCGTCGGGACCACATGGCCGAGAGGCCTCATTGGTAGGGAGGGCGGGCCGGAACATGACGGATGAGGCTGGGGGGCGGGAGACCGAAAGCAGAGGGAAAGAAAACCAACAACACATAAACACACCATTCACGCGACCCACACATCACACACATCAATGCACCCTATCAACAATTTCAGCAGCGGTGCGACATAGAGAAGTTACCCCCGAAAACACCAGCGACGCCGATCTCGACTCAAACTGCGGTGGCCTGGCATCTGACGACTTCAAGGTGGCTGGGGCGATGCTGCCCCTGTCGGTCATCATCGTCGTCGTCGTAGACGTAATCGTACTCTGTGTAGTCGTCGTAACCGTCGTCGTCGCGCAGCATCGCTCCATCCCCAGGTGAAGAAAGGGCGGTTCCAATTGTCGCCCTGGGGGGACAACGCCTCCCATCTCGCATTCGATCCGTCGTCGTCGTCGTCGGCCGTCGTCGCCCGTCGCCGTCTGTCGCTGTCCGCAGTCGACTGCGGACGACGACGACGATCGTCGTCGTCGTCGTAGGCCCAGGGAGTGCGACGTCCACACTTTCCAAATCGAGCCCGATCACCGCATGAAATGCAGGACACCAACCACAACGACGATACCAACGACGACGACGATCATGGCGAGGATTGCGACGATGCCGAGATCGAGACGTGCGAAGACACGATGGCGAAGGCGGCACCGACGCACGCGACGACGACGACGACGACAAAGACGACGACGACGACGACGTCGACAAAGACGACGACGACGACGACGACGAACGACGACGACGACGACGAAGACGAAGGACGAAGGACGACGACGATGAGAGCGGCTCCGAGTCGGAGCCCTATTTCCCACGAGCTCTCAGCGGCACTAGAAACCGACGCGTCATCGCCACGAGCAGGGCTATACATGCGCTCCAAGCGAATCTTGCACAACACGCAGACGCGTGTTCCCACGTGTTTGACGGCCTCGCAAGCTGCACACCCACCTTACTGAACGGGGCGGATGCGGCGGATCACGGGAATGAAATCTATGTGATCCGCCGCATCCGCCCCGTTCAGTGGGGTGGGCGCGCAGCCTGTGAGGCCGTCAAATACGTGGGAACACGCGTCTGTGTGTTGTGCAGGATTCGCTTGGGGCGCTTGTATAGCCCTGCTCGTGGCGATGACGCGTCGGTTTCTAATGACGAAGCTCCCGAGGACCGCTGAGAGCTCGTGGGGAAGAGGGCTCCGACTCGGAGCCGCTTTCATCGTCGTCGCCGTCATTCGTCGTCGTCGTCGTCGTCGTCGTCGTCGTCTTTGTCTTTGTCTTTGTCTTTGTCTTTGTCTTTGTCTTTGTCTTTGTCTTTGTTTTTGTCTTTGTCGTCGTCGTCGTCGTCGTCCTCGTTCTCATTCATTGCCCACTCATTCTCCCGACCTATCCCCCTTTCTCCCTCCATTCCCCCTCCCCCGTTCGCCCCCTTCTCCCTCGCCCGTCTCCCCTCGCCCCTCTTCTCCCTTATCTCTCTCTCTTCCCTCCTCCGAACCGCGGCTCGGTCTGGTAGTCAACGATAGCCGCGCGCTCCTGTTCAGAGCCTCGGCAAAACG